TAGGATTCTCTTCAGTACAAGAAAAAAAGTATACCTGAGAAACAACTACTTTTAATCATAGTTGATTATCTAATGTGTGATTGTGATATACATTCTAAATCTAATACTCATCATACCCTCATGTATTGCATTCATCCCTAATTTACACTCAAAGAAAAAATCATGATCACCTACTAGGTAATCAATGGTTGTGATTGAGTAGTAGTCCTTCTATTGGTTTTTTTGATAGTGAAGATGATCGAATCTGTTAAAGCAAACTTCACCAAATAGCTATCTTTTGGTAGCTCATTCTACAAAATAAACCATCATCTTATGCCCATTACTTTCGTATATAATTAGTGTTGATTACAAGCTTGCAAAGGCAGTCACCTTAATTTTTTTATGACTTCCTTTGAAGAGTTAAATATCTCCATGCTTGACCAGGCCTCACGTGAGTTTTCTTCCTTGTGCTTTTATGGAGAAGAAGACAAAAGCGGATGCAGTCAATGTGAGGAGTAAAGCTAAAATTTGAGTTCAAAGTTGGCTATTTGCATGAAAAGATAAAGGGTTTCTCACCCACCAACCAAACCTAACTCAACTCTTTCCACATGGATCAAATCGTCATATAAATTCTTGTCTATATGCACACTAACAGTCTAAATGCCTCCCTTTTAGAAGGACCGTTGAGTTAACTATTTTGTGGCAATGTATGTGCGTATGTTGCCTTATCAATATCAATACTATACTCAATGCTTACAAAAGAGCAACCTCTATTTGCATTTTCTGCCACTTGTCAAATCCTGAAGCTTTTACTTATCTAATTTCTCTACTTAAAAACCTCATGGCTATTTTGTTTCTCTTAATTTCCCTACTTTTCTCACCACCTCCCTTCCAAATATATCTTCTAGTAATCCCCTCTCTAAGGAACCTTTCAACTCATTGCTTCAATTCCCAACAAGACATTTATCATGTTCTGCATCTCATATTCGCTATAAACAACATACTGTTCTATCTTCAAAGATGTCATTTTCTATTACATTATTATTATTTTTTAGAAAGGCTTCAGATGTGAACATATTCCTTCTTTCTATTGATATATAATCCTCTTCATAATTTAATTTCTAGGTCGAACTTACTTTTTTACAGTTTCATCGTTGATAAGGATTGGATTCTTGATGCATTTTTTTTCTATTTTGTTATATCTAAAATAAATTATTTGAACCTCATTAATATCATGTCCGGAGCATAGCGCAGGTGACAACTAGTTCTGTATATCTACCGAACCATAGTATACTTTCTGAGAATAGATATTTCCATGTGCAGGCTATATAGTATTTGATTTCCTACTAAAAAACAATATCTAGCAAGGCTGGGACTTTGGATTATCATGCTCTATTCTGATTTACATAAAACATCATGAACTGTAAAAAATGTAGTCAAGTATCAGGAGATTTGGCATCAGACATAACAATGAATATAACATTTGCAGATGTATATTTTATTATATTCATAGAAATATCTTATTGGATTTCAATAATAAATATATCCTTACATATTCAAATTTGTTTGCATTAGTATATTCTTACGGTGTCTTGGGTTAGGAGTAACAAATTAAACATATTTACGACACCTACTATTAGACTTATTTTGAAATAGTACTGCATATTGATTCTGATGATTTAAATAATGAGATATGTGACATTCTTGTTCCTCCCTATATAACTTTCTTTAGAAGACTCTCTATATGATTTTCCCCTTAAAGTTATTAATTTTTTGATTCCTTTGGGAGTATTTGGAGACCACGGTGTTTTTAGAGTTTCTATATATGATGTTTTTGTTATGAACAAAATACCACGTGCTTGAAAACCATGATGTTTTTATTGGACTAAAATATGAAAAACTAAAAACACAACATTTATTTCAAAACAGCAAAAAAATGTTTTAAATTTGGTGTTTATGTTTTAATTTTAAAGGGTGTTAATATAATGTCAAATATAGTGTATTAATAATATTTTTTATAATATATTCATTACATAATATAATATAATATAATATTATTTAATATATTACTATAATATTTTTTCCAAATAAAATCAATACTATGTTTAATATCATAAATAATATATTATAATTAATATAATATAAATAATTATATTTTAAATTATATATATATATAATTAATTTAATAATAATGATTAAATAAATAATTAACAAAAATTTTAGTAATTGACAAAAAAATAAATCTATATTTATTTCACTAGTATAACATGATATAATATAAAGATAATATAATATAATATAATATATATAATTATAATATAATTATAATATAATATAATATATAAATTATGGATATATTATATTATCTAGTATATTACATATATTAGTACTTGTTTCCTAATATATCAATAGCCTATGTTTAATGCTAGTAAAATTAATGATACATATAATATTAAAGGAAAAAATGCTTCAAGCCCCAATTCATATTTTCAATGTGCCAGCCCCCACTTTCAAACATGTCGCTGCAACCCCTCTTTTTGAAAAAATTATTAAAAAGCCCCTCTCCCCCCCAAGTTCCCATGCAAACTCCATACACCAATCCCCATTTTACCTTCCCCTTACACCCCCTCTTCCTCCTCCGTTCCCCCCTCTGCCCCTAGCCCCGCCTCACTCCCCTCCCCCTACACTACCTTCTCCTCCCCCGCCTCCCTCCCCTCCCCTTACACCTCCTCTTCCCGCCCCCCTCGCCTCCCTCCCCCTACAGCTCCCTCCTCCTCCTCACCGCCTCCCTACCCCGCTGCACCTCCCCCGCCTCCCTCCCCCCGTCTCTCTCCCCCGCTGCACCTCCCTCCTCCTCCTTCGGTCCCCCTTTGCCCCCTTCCCCGCTCCGCCGCCGACGTCGTCCCGAGGAACTTCGCATTGGCACATTAATATTAACTCTTTTCTGTAACATGTTAACTCTTTTATGTAAAATATTAACTCTTTTCTGTAACATGTTAACTCTTTACAGCTAACATGTTAGCTGTAAGAGTTAACATATTAGTTGTTAGAGTTAACATGTTAGCTGTAAGAGTTAACATGTTAGCTGTAAGAATTAACATGTTATCTGTAAGAGTTAACATGTTACAGAAAAAATTAACATTTTACAGAAAAGAGTTAACATGTTACGGAAAAGAGTTAACATGTTACAGAAAAGAGTTAACATCCACTGACATAAGAAAAAGGGTAAATTCGGGATTTAAGTCAGCTGATATGTCTAATCATGAGCTGGCATGTCTAATCAACTGCTGAAATGAGCTGGAATCATGATGGAGGAGTGATGGAGGGGCTTGGACATATTTTTTTTCAAAAAGGAGGGCTAAAGAACATTAAAAAAAATAGGGGGGCTGGGGCACATTGAAAATATAAATTTGGGGCCTAGAAGCAATTTTTCCAATATTTTATTGTTATTAATACATTAACTTTTATTAGTAATAATGTAATAACATATTTTATAATATAATATAATATTGTTATAATATGATATTACTATCATTATACTAGCATTTATTATATAATATATTATGAATATATGGAATATATCCATATTTAATCTTTTTATTCTTTTAGGGGAGTTATTATTTATTATTAAATATTATATTAATTTAATATTGGAAAAATTGCTTCTAGGTCCCAAATTTATATTTCAATGTGTCCCAACCCCCCCTACTTTTTTTAATGTTCTTTAGCCCCTCCTTTTTAAAAAAAAAATATGTCCAAGCCCCTCCATCACTCCTTCATCATGATTCCAGCTCATTTCAGCAGTTGATTAGACATGCCAGCTCATGATTAGACATATCAGCTGACTTAAATCCCGAATTTACCCTTTTTCTTATGTCAGTGGATGTTAACTCTTTTCTGTAACATGTTAACTCTTTTCTATAACATGTTAACTCTTTTCTGTAACATGTTAACTCTTTTCTGTAACATGTTAACTTTTTTCTGTAACATGTTAACTCTTACAGATAACATGTTAATTCTTACAGCTAACATGTTAACTCTAACAGATAATATGTTAACTCTTACTGCTAACATGTTAGCTGTAAGAGTTAACATGTTACAGAAAAGAGTTAACAGTTAATAGAAAAGAGTTAACATGTTACAGAAAAGAGTTAACAGTTAATAGAAAAGAGTTAACATGTTACAGAAAAGAGTTAACATGTTACAGAAAAGAGTTAACATGTTACAGAAAAGAGTTAACATGTTACAGAAAAGAGTTAACATGTTACAGAAAAATGGAGTTTGCATGGGAACTTGGGGAGAGGGGCTTTTAATAATTTTTTCAAAAAGAGGGGGCTGCAGCACATGTTTGAAAGTTAGGGGGGCTAAGGCACATTGAAAATATGAATTTGGGGCCTTGAAGCAATTTTTCCTAAAATATTTATGTTAAAAATAATTAAAAAATAACATTTGAAAATAATATTTCAGTATTATAATATAATATACATATTACAGACATGTACAAAATATAACATTATAATCTATTAATTATATATAATATTATTATATATTAATTATATACAATATTATAATATATTAATTGAAATATATTGTATTAGAATTAATATTTAATATATTAATAATATGTTTAATACTAATGTTATAAAAAGTCAGTTTATCATTGACCAAAAATATTTTTTATGGTGTCTTTCAGGAAAAAAAAAACACCATGGCATTTTGAAAATCCCACAAAAAATCACTATGGAATCCAAATATACCTTTCATTTTTTGTTCATTCAATATTTTATTTGTACTATTTTTTTGTTAACTATATGACTTATTTAAAATTGACAGCAAAACAGGCAGACCATAGCGCATTAAAAACCCTACAATTCCACCAGGTTAATATACATTACCCTTCACGCAAGAATTCTTCAAATTTTTGGGCCAGCCCAACAAACGGCCTCTATTAAGGGCCGACTTAAATTTATATCGAGCCCTGCTTACATTATTCAAAAGCAATCTACTCCCTCGAAATTCCCTCCAAAAATGCCAAAGGCCAAATGGAACGCAAACTTCACCCTCATCATCACTCACCCAATTCTCTCCAAGCTCGAATCCTCCTGCAACTCCATGGCCCATCTCCACCAAATTCAGGCCCAAATGACCATTACCGGCCTCATCAACGACCAATTCCCCTTCAGCCGCCTCCTTGCTTTCTCCGCCCTCTCTGCCACCGGCGACTTCTCATACGCCCGCCGCCTCTTCGCCCATTTCCCGAACCCCAACACGCACATGTTCAATACCATGATTAGAGGATTCAACAATTCAAACTTCCCCCAATTGGGTCTCTCTCTATTCTCTCGAATGATCCTCGAATCAATTGAAATGGATAAACGAACCTTTGTCTTCACCCTCAAAGCCTGTGAGATGACCAATTGGGCGAAAATGTTAGGAGAACAGGTTTATTCAGTGATTTTTAAAGTGGGTTTTGATTCGGATTTGTTGGTGCAAAATGGGTTGATGCATTTGTATGTGCATTGCTGCGAGTTGGTATTCGCACGAAAGACGTTTGATGAAATGAGTGAGAGAGATGTGGTTTCATGGACAACAATTATTGATGGGTATTCGCAGAGTGGGTCCCCCAATGAGGCAGTAAAGATGTTTTATTTGATGAGGTTTGCAAATGTGAGGCCAAATGAGGTGACTATGGTTAGTGTTATCTCGACGTGTTCTCAATTGGGTGTTTTGAAATTAGGGAAATCTATTCATGAGTGCTTAGAGAAGTATGGGGTGAATGTTAGTGTCAATGTCATGAATGCCTTGGTTGATATGTATGGGAAATGTGGTTGTGTAAATTCTGCAAGGAAAGTGTTTGATGAGATTGAAATAAAGGATGTCTTTTCTTGGACTAGTATGATGAACGCCTATGCCAAATGTGGTGAACTAGAGCTTGCGAGGAAAGTTTTTGATGAGATGCCTGAGAGAAATGCGATTTCTTGGAGTTGTATGATTGCGGGTTATTCTCAAGCAAACCGACCTAAAGAAGCAATAGACTTATTTCGTGACATGATTGGGACCAGTGTGAAACCCATAGATGCCACTCTGGTGAGCGTGCTCTCTGCTTGTTCTCAAAACGGTTGCTTGGACTTAGGAAGGTGGATTTATACCCATTACATTCATGAGAAAAAAATCAAACTCAGTGTCAAGCTGTCTAATGCATTTATCGATATGTATGGTAAATGTGGAGCCATTATCGAGGCGGTTAAATTTTTCAATGAAATGCCAGAGAGGGATGTGGTATCTTGGAATACTATGATTATGACACTAGCAATCCATGGATACGGGAAAGAGGCCCTAAACATTTTCAATCAATTTAAGAATGTGGGAATGGTGCCTAATGAAATCACGTTCGTGGGGGTGCTATCTGCTTGCAGCCACATTGGATTGGTTGTAGAGGGTCAAAAGCATTTTGAAGAGATGATAATGGTTTATGGTATAGAGCCCAAAGTAGAGCACTATGCATGTCTTATCGACTTGCTGGGCAGAGTTGGGCTTTTAAAAGATGCTTATGAGTTGCTAAGGAGTATGCCGATGGAGCCAGATGAAGCAGGGTGGGGTGCACTACTTAATGGCTGCAGGATGCATGGAAATTTAGAGTTAGGTAAATGTGCGGGTGATAAGCTTCTTGGTTTGGACCCTGGAGATAGTGGTACATATGCACTTATGTCAATTATATATGCTACTAGAAATAGATGGGATGATGTGAAGAGGGTAAGGATGTTGATGAGAGATCGAGGAATTAGGAAAACTCCCGGCTGTAGTTCGATAGAGGTGGAAGGCAAGTTCCATGAGTTCTTTGCCGCAGACCAAGCACATTTGCTATGTAAAGATATTCACTCAATTTTAAGTGTCATATATAAGCATTTAAAGTGGGAAGATTGTCGCCTTGATTTGTGAAGATTGGTGTGCTTCCGCCGGGTGGATGTAATCTTTCAACAGAACAAAATGATGGGCAGCATGTAGATATTCAACTGAGAAGTTCCAAAAGCTCATTCAGCAGATTGATAAGGCGATATTTTATTGTATCTATATGCATCATACTTAATTTCAAGAGGTACGTCTCACATTATTTGATCATTAGCTCTCTTACGATAGACGTGCAATTGTTTGAAAGCTCGAAAGATATCAATTTTAAGTGGATAGGATAAAAGCAGATATTTGACTGAAATATAGTAGAATTGGGTATGAACACTATGCTCTCATGTTCTCTTGTTCTGTTGGATTTTTATTAGGTGATATGCCACTGTTGAATGAGTTGATTGGTGCTACCACGCTGAGAACTAAATGGGAATAAAGCAGCCGAAGGATTTCATTTGTAGTTCAATATCAGGGAGCATGGCTATACATTTTGTGATTGAAAGTGGAGTTCCTGATTTGAAAAAAGGATAAATTTTCAAATTAGATCAATGAAAAGATAAATTCTCGTTCCAAGTTCCTTGCATCATTATTCTCACCAGTCATGGTTATTGTACAAGAGATCTCGTTCAGCTTGATAAGAGCCAGTCGTAAGCTACTTTGAGATATGATGCCTTCGCAAGGTGAGTCACGGAAAATATTATGGCAAATTGCCAGTTATCAATCTTGTTTTGTGTCTTAGTTTGAAACAGTTCCAATATGATCTTCTTTTAAACAGATTTGACTAGATCTAATGGTTGGATTTTTCTCTCAGATGTTGTGAAGGATGATGCTCTTGTCGAAGCTGGGACCGAGTGTTGAATATTTCAGTCACTTCTTTCTTCAAAAATAAACTTGTTCATAAGAGCCTTTTAGACTCTGAGAACGTAAGGTTTTTCCGTTCAGGTTAGCCTGATTTCATTAGCACGAACAAATACTTTCTAGTATTATTAGATATTTTTCCTTTTTGCTCAAAGATTCTTTCCCGATAAAGACAGCTCATCTTTTTCAAGTTCTCGTTTGTTTGATTATTATATTGATTAGCTGCTACTTTCTTACCTTTTAATTAGCAATTACTTGCCAAACAACCTTGATTATGTTAAAATTGCTGGGCAACATAAAGAAGCGGTTGGAACCTCTAGTGTTTAATTATTGAAACAAAGTGCTCATTGACAGACGGATCTGTCAATGTAGTATCTGCGAGTCACTAATTAAATATATCTTTTAGCAGGATGGTGAGGAGGAGACCATTTAGATTAAGTGAATACAACAATTATACGGGAATATGCTTTGATCAGTCTATGCTGAAATTCTGTTTGGTGAAAAGTGGACCAGAATTGAGCTAGTTGTTTACTTCAAATTTTGGTTTCTTTACACAAGATTTGTTCTGGACTAGGAAGGGGGTCCAGAACTAAACTTGTTTAGTGCCAAACTGGCTCAAGGGGGAGTTGCCAAACTGACCCTAAGTCTTCGAAGAGACATCGATGAACTATTGTTAAAATGAGAAATGAATTAGAGGCAACATGTTAATCTTCAAACATGCATCACGCAAAATTAATTGGAATACTATTTTTTTCCACTGAAAGGAAAAATCATTTTAGTTCCTTTTGTTGGAAAAGAAATAAAAGAAAAGGAATCGAGAGTTGAAGTTTAGTTCCTTTAGGTGAGGGAGTTTAGTTGATAATTAAGAGGTCATGCAAATAAAGAGAAAATGAATAGAACTATTTGAAGGTTATATAATTTGTATGAACTCATCAAGCTCAGGCCAAACGTTTGGGTTAAAGGTTTCTGTTTTTGTACCTCAACTAATTAGATAGGGGTCCTCACTAAGTTTCAGGTTAGTAAGGATAAGGTGTAGAAGAACTTTAAGAAACGTAGTCTAATTTTGATCTGGTCTCATGTTCATGATTCTGAAAAAACAATGTCAAATTCGGGAACTTTCAAATTTTGGTCCATTTCAGGCCTCTAGGTTCCATAAAGCCCAAGTGGCTGTGCAAGAGTAGAAGTAAATGTAACTTGTTGAAAAAAATGTCTAGGTTGCATACATCTGACCCTCTCCAGAGTCCACAATGGTGGCAGCCTCGTGCACCAGATGTAGGTGTCAATAATTACCGTTCCCGACGCAAACACCAGGCTACCATTTTAATAAGGTGTTCCATAACTCAGAGCATATCTTACATGATTAGGTTGGTGTTGCTAGAAACTGTGAAAAATGGGGAAATAGTAAGGTGCCTAAAGGATCGATGAAAAGCAAAGGTAATCTAGCCATCATAAAGCTTGAGAAGGCAACCCAAGTGTGAAAAATGAAAGTAGTCTAAATCACTAGCATGAGTATTTTCTAATTTTCCAGTCTAAGTTACTTCACTCTTTAATGTTCTCATGTTACTGATGGTTACATTGCAACACAAACGTTTAGTGGTTGTTCCAGTATAACCAAGATATGCGTAGTAGATCTCGTTCCACAGCCTTTCTTCGGTAACAAGAGTCAGGATATAGGTGTTATGAATTCTGGGATATTTCTAAATTGGCGTTATAAGATCAAATCAGTGTTATATGGTGATAAGATTCATATCAGGTGCTAGCTCTAACCAAAACTTGGTGTAATAACATCCATATTTATATTATTTTTGGACCCAATTTCATGGGAAATACTATGTGATAGGTGAGTTATCTTCTCTATTAATCCTTGATTGTGATTGAAGCCCAGAAGATCAACCACTCAATTTCATGCCATGATTTATCATGGCCTATTTTGGGAAATTGTATGTTTGGCAAAAACTAGATCAGGATTGGCCTTTTTCCTTGGTCCAAAAATGGCCCATAAACCAATTGAAAGCTAGACCACACCCCTGGTTTCAGGAACGGATGCACTAAGGGGGGCACATGCTCCCATACATTTTGTAAAATATTTAGAATATATGTGCAATTTTGATAGGTGCGCTCATACGATATTTATTTGTGCCCTTGTGTAGAGAACAATTTGAAGACTTAGTAGTGTTTTCTTAGTTTTTGTAATGAAAATGAAAATTAATCATGTGTCGATTTGAAAATGATAGTGAAATGTATTATATGCTAAAGTTCTATGTGATTATCGTATAATAAATTTTCTATTGAGCGAATTTGTATTCTAAAATTAAATTTATATGCATAATTGTATATGTGCCCCCATAGGTAAAAAAAAGTTCTTGATCCACCCGTCTGGTTTGCTCTTAGCTTGGTTAGGATAAAACTGGGGTAGGATCAATCTTTGCCCATTTTGTGAGTGGTTGCCAGATACAACAATGATGTCATTGTTGGGGAAACCCCCGATGTCGAGATCCAATACCAAATCGTCGAGAGAGAAAGCAAAACACACTAACTCAATAAGCACAAATAATCAACATCAACTTTAACGTGGTTCGGCGAGATGTCTACGTCCACGGGGCAAGGAAATGGAAGTTTTCACTATTAGAAATCAAGGGGATACAACCAGGGTTACAAATCTCACAAAAACCCCTCTTCAAATCACACTCTCCAAATGCTCCTACAATAGAAGCCCAACAAAACCCCTCTATTTCAGCTCAAAACCATTGCACTCAAACCCTAGAAACACCCCTTAGGTATTTGTAACAATCCAAAACGAAACGGGTCTGGAACCCAGATTCAGCCCAAAACCGCTTCGGCGATCGACCGTGGCGGTCGATCACGC